CACTTTCCTGAACATGTACCAACAATTACCCCAACACAACAATTACCCCAACACCTACCCCCAACACTTTCCCTATCATGTACAATCACTTACCACAACAACTCTTTCCAGTTCAGCTATCACTTCTTGCACTTGATCGGGTTGAATTGTTTATTGACATAGCGAGTTATCTACCCATTATAAAAACTGAGGACTTTTCCAGCGGATCTAGCCTTTCAATTTCAGAGGGCAGTGGTGGGGGTGGGGGTGAGGGGAGTGGGGGCAAGTCTTATAAACCAAAAGTGCAAATGCGAGGGTCTAAGCTTTACAGTAAGTAACATAGAGAACAGAACATTTTATATACAATATTGTAATTCTGTTTAAAATATTCATAATATTACTTATATTATTTGTAGTTCTACATTTTATTATCTTTTTTTTGGACTGGGGGGGGGGGGGGGGGAAGGGTAAGCCCATTCTAGCCATCTCATAGATCCGCCTATGGGAAGAAATCTCAGGTTATTTGCATGCAATGAATTAAGTACATCAGATTACACAAGTGTGCTTGGTGTGTGTGTGTGCGTGTGTGTGCTTGCGTGTGTGTGCTTGCGCGTCAAGCAATGAATAAAGTACATCAGATTACCCGGAGAACAAATATGTTTGCTGTGTGTGTGTGTGTGTGTGTGTGTGTGTCAAGATAACCCCGCCACCCCCCCAAAAAAAAAGATTATTAGAGGAAATGAAAACTGTACTTTAGTTTTTATTGAAGAGGGTGAAATTGGGACATAACACTATTACCATAATCCAAACCCTAGCCCTCAAGGTTGATGACATGCATTACATTTGATCTGACGAACAGTGGCGGGGCTTAACTTTTTGTGCGTGGACTTCTTGAATTATTGGTGGAGCTTATCTGAATAAACCAAAAAAAATATTATTTTATTTAACAAGGAATTTTTTTACCAGTGTCCCCCCCCTCCCCCCACCCTCACCCCCAGAAGCCAAATGTCTGAAAGAAACCTCGCATGAAGCTGACCCCCCCCCCCACCCCCCTTAATGTTACCAAGCCTACACTAGTTACTGCCTGTCCGCTCGGTCAACACGATAGCCTGGCTCTAATCTAACTTAGAATTTAATGCCGGCCTGATCCTAGAACTGACTTGAAGTCAACGAGGAAGTCATCTGTTGACTGAAAGTGTGAGGCACTCTTGTATTATTCACGTCGTTCTGCCCTCGATATATGGGTCTGTCCCATGAGGTTATCTGACCCGAGTCTTTGCGGACCTCTTGAAGGTCAACCGTTAGAAATTTTTTTCAACATCCGGTTGTAAAATGGATGGACATGAAGACGATATGAAAGTAGACACCGATGTTTACAGAATATCAAATTAAAGATTCATTAAAGATTCATAAAAAGATAGCGAAGTTTGTATTACTAAGTGCTGCTTTTTCAGTTATGTCAGCGAGGTTTAAACTGGGTCAGTAAGGTTTAAACTGGGTCAGTAAGGTTCAAACTGGTTAAATGGGGTATAAACTGGGTCAGTATGGTTTAAACTGGGTCAGTGAGGTTTAAACTTGATCATTGAGGTTCAAAGTGGGTTAGTGGGGTTCAAACTGGGTCAGTGGGATTTAAACTGGGTCAGTGAGGTTTAAACTGGGTCAAGGGGCCTTAAAGTAATTATGTCAAGCTCATGCTCATTTTTTCAACCTTTGACCTTTAGAGTCCAAGCCGAGTTACTCTACCGTATTTTCCGCCCCGCTGTTTTGAAATTAACTCTAAACCAGTCACCGGTGATGTAAAAAAAAAAATTAATTGAAACAAAAAAATTCAATTTTCTACCGGAATGGCAACTATTTTTCTTAACGAAAGTTACCGTTCGTGTTTTTAAAAAAAATGGCAGACAGTCTGACAGATAGGTTCCGCCACGTCTGTCACACAAATTCTTGTTTCATTCTTTTTAAAATGTTGCCACCAGTCCGTCACGCACATCGTTGTCTGTAACATAGGATATATATATATATATATATATATATATATATATATATATATATATATATATATATACATATATATATACATATATATATATATATATATATATCAATTAGACAGTTGCTCGTCCTGTGTGCACAACTCTAGTTTTGTTGTCTCCCTGTCTTGTAGCCTATAAAATGAGTATACAAGTAAAGCAGCTAATGGATATACCTCGTGTAAAGTTCGTTGGATCATTAATTGTTTTTAAAATGCACATTTTACTTGGTCGTGGCCATGAGCCTAAATACGGGAGGTAATTGATTGGGTTAATGAATAGAAGCACATCAGGTTGTTGCACAACACAGATTGTTGCACAATACAGACGAAGGTTAGGTACTAGACCTGCTGCGCCGTGATCAGTGTCAGATTCGGTAAAATAAAGTTAATTCAACAGTAACTGCCCGTATAATTTCATGCTTAGTTTATTGTGTTTATTGTTGCGTCTTTAATGTGATAACTACATTGCCAGCAGCAGAATCTAATTGTTTGTGAAAGGGGGTCGAGTCGTCTGAAGAATAGATAATAATTTCCCCCCAAAATGTTATGGTCCAAAGCGCTCTGGTCCTCGGTCCTCCTGCAGATGTCCTCTGTCCTCTGTGATTATTTAAAGAACGATTCTCGGCTACATTAGTTTGGTGATTATTTAAAGAACAATTTTACAAATTAAAAAAAATACAATTTGATTTAATAAAAATTAAATAGCATTCATTAGAGAATAAAGAAATTACAAAACTAGTTTCTAAATCCCTAATTAACATGAACATAGAATTAATACCCCCCCCCCCCGGACAAAGCCAACAGATTAGTTTGTTTACTTTGTGATGAATTCAGACAATGTGTCTGCTTCCCGCCTCACCACGACTACTTGCTAATTCAACAGACGGACAAGAAAAAAGTCGTTTTAGATGTTTTTATCGATCAAATTATTCCCTGAATTATCCCAATGTAAACACTGAATATTGTTTAATGGGCCTATCCTTATATAAACAGAATTTCCTGGAGTATTTTAATGTATGTGTGACATAGTTTAATATATCTGCTTATGGCGAGTCTATGAAATCAAAAACAACAAAAACAGCGCGGTTTACTTGTTCAGAATGTTTTACACCTAATTAACAGTAATCAAATTTAAAAAATACGATTTCGAAAGAAGAACATATCGGAAAATCTATAAATGTTGTTTTAGTTCCAAGTCGAAGATTGGCTGTTATATGGATGAGATGTTGTGTAGCAAGCAACAACAGTAGGTCTATGACAGCTACTATCATCATCTACTTTTCATGTGCCCAGAAACATGGGATAGACGAAGTAGAGATCATCTGTTTCAGAGACCTCGGCAAATGAAGGCTTTGTGCCATCTAATGACTGGATTCGAACTTGAGACTGTCGGGTTAGCAGTCCAGCTGTCTACCGCTAGGCCACGCCATCCCATGACAGTTTCTACATCTATTAATAAAGCTATTTATAGTTACCATCCATGTAACGTGTGATGTAAATCTGCCCCCTCCCCCACCCCATCATAAAATAAGCCAGAAGGTCCAAACGAACAAATGATTTTGGCCGTTTAACTTCTCTACTACTCAATTGTTAACCGCCATCAACTATAAGCACAAGACTGTATTTTCTGAATGTCCCTTTCATGTCTGTGCCACACATTGAGGTGGCTGAAGCCACGCTAAGGGAAGCCATCCTTGAGATCCGCACGTTTCATCTCCCTCTGTCATAGACACACTTCTTTCTGTTGATTTTTGAAAATAATAATCATTAAAAAAGTTTTTAAAAACCCACGTTTTCTGATTGAACTAAAAAGTAGAAAATAAATGCTATAGGCCCTACATCACAATAATGCAAGCGATCACTCTACTATAAGCGAGCAAAAACGTGGGGCGCCGAAGTAAAAGTTATATTACTATTGATTAGATAATACTATTGACTTTTATTAGGGAGCTTGTAGAGAGTCAACAGTATTAGAAACTGTAAGAAAATCACGGCGCCCCACGTTTTTGCTCGCTTATAGTAGAGTGATCGCTTGCATTATTGTGATGTAGGGCCTATAGCATTTATTTTCTACTTTTTAGTTCAATCAGAAAACGTGGGTTTTTAAAAACTTTTTTAATGATTATTATTTTCTACTTTTTAGTCTTTGTCTGTTTGTTTGCATTAAAATCTTGCTATCGATTTTATCTTTTCACTTTTTTTGGGTAAACGAAGACAACTCGTAAAAAGACAACTCGTAAAAAGACAACTCGTAAAAAGACAACTCGTAAAAAACACGTTGTTTGAATACGTTACTGACTAGAACACATAGATTTGAACCCGTGTCGAGTGGGATAGCAATCGTGTGCCCAACCACTCGACCATATCGTCTCCCCCAAACTGGCCTACCTCCTGTAAGTTTAAACTCGGTTCAAGCTAAATTCTCTGCCCCTAAGCCTGTGGCGACATGTGATCGTTCGCTTCACTGCGCGCGAGGTACGCGTCGCTGGTTTTTTTTTTGTAATGGCTAGCAGAGGAGAATTATATATATAGATTATATAGCGGTCTAAAATGCTCAATAAAATGTTTCCATTGATCAATTTAGTAATAATAACAATTGAATATTCAATGGTCATCCAAAAGAAAGCTTCCCTGAAAATTTCAGCGCGCTAGCTAACTGGGAAGTGCCAGAAATTTCGATCGCAAGATTGGATTGGAAAGACAAACAAATAAATAAATAAATAAACACACAGAGAAAGCAAGTTAAAGAAAACGTGGTAAAAAAGGTTTGTAAAAAGTTTTGTGAAATTAAATGTTCAATGGTGCGAGCTTTAATGGTCCAATTAACAATGGTTGGTGGCCACCATTTTGTTGGGAAGAAGAAAAAATATACTGGAATTAGATACAGACTCAAACAGTGTAAAACTGGCTTAATTATGTGTTGTTGGTCGGGAGTTAGATACAGACTAAAACAATGTAAAACTGGCCTAATTATGTGTTGTTGTTTCAGATGGTACAAGCTGACGGATTCCGTCTACTGACCCTGGCATGTCTGGTTCATGTGGCAGTGGGTAAGTGTCATGTCAGTCCGTGTGTATGATGTTAGTTATAAATAGGGATAAATACATGTATATGTAAGGGATAGGAATAGCGATAGGGAAAATGAAATGGGGAAAGTACAGATATAGGGAAACGGATGTGTCTCAGATAGGGATAGGGATATCTAAAGCAATAGGCAATATGATAGGGATTGTGATAGCAATAGGGATAATGAAAGGGATATGCATAGTTATAAGAATGAGAACTGGGGTAGGGATATGTTTTTGTTTATAACTATGTTTGGGTTTGTAGTTGTGGTTAAAATTAGTGTTATTTATATTAGCGTCCATACTTACATATATAGCATTAATTGAAAAATGTAGCCCACGCTACATCCTTTGTCTTTGTGAAGATATGTGTTACGTGTGTGTTTGGAACGTGTTTAGATAACAAAATATGACATAGCCATACTAATAGCTTTTAAAATAATATTTTTTTCTTATAGTTAAGGTTAATTACGTAACAAGTCTAACCATAAGATTTTCTATAGATCTAGATTTACATATATCATATTTTAAAAATAATTGGTTGCATCAAGACAGTCAAGTACATAAACTAATTAGAATCTAGAAATTTAATACGCTCAAAACAACATTTACTTCTTCTTTATAAAAACACTCATCGATATTTTTTATTTTTTACATTATGATGAATGTCTAATGTTTCTATTAAATTGCAGGAAAAACATTATTTTATAATATCCTGTTACATTCTGGTGAATTCTTTATGTAAAGCAAATAGGGAATTTATTGACGAAAACCGGGGCGGCTTTTAACTTTTAAGCCCAGTTGTATGAGAGTGGCCAGATCATTGTTCTTGCCATAGACCAAAACGTGTTTTTGTTCATTCTTTTTCTGATCTGCCTTAGATGATTATCACAAATTTTATCCGAACCTATTGGTTTACACTAGTGCACTTCAGCATAACAAAGATCTAGTTACGGCTGATTTGTTTACATTTATATTGCCTCAAATAGTAAATAAACAAAAAACCAATTACATTTTGGGGCTTTTAAAATATTTTGTTTAATTACCGAAAATATTAATAAAAACATACACTTAAGTTTTATAGTCACGCATGTTTTTTTTTAATAACGGTGCATACGATTTTAAAAATATTTATTCTCCCATCTCAGAGTTTTCTGGTATTGACAAATTGAAATGATTTCATTCATCTAATTTAGAAACAGTTTAAAATTATATTTAAAAATAAGAACTTCTGTTTCACGAATGGAAATCAATCCACTGAATTTATTTTTAAATTTAGTATTTTTGGAGTGAATTTCAACATTTTATATTCAGGCATAAAAATGCAAGCTAAACTTGCGGCTTTAACTATCTAAATAAGGAAGTTTTTAGCATCTGAAATTATGTTTCCAATATTTGTGTCTATTGATTTAAAGGTGTTACACGTCAAGCCATAAAATAAAAAAAATGAAAACATCAGTTTTGTTGACTCGAGCTCTGCCTTATGATTACAGCAACGATAAAACCAAATTCCCACAATATAAAACTAATTGAAAGCTTTGAAATGAGGAGAATATTTTTTCCTAACATAGCAGTTCTCAAACAGTTTGTCATTAAGCCTCCATTTAAACCCTCTAAGTCATTTTGTATATACTTATATAATATTACATGCGTGTATGTACTGTTTGTAGGCGTTTGTAATATACCAACCCACATTTATAATGGAAATCTACACCGTCTTTGCTACCGACAGTAAACGTCCACTCTATATTTACACTTTTGTACAATTGATTCAAGTGATCGTGTACACGTCTACAAGTAGACCTAAGTAGTAGAGCTATGTAGTACAGCTTGCGTTTTTTAAAAAATTTGAACTAAAGTCAAGTGATGATTCTAAAATCTATGAAATCTAAAAATGTAGACCAAAAAGTCATATAAGTTAATAATTTCAAATTCCTCGGACATATTATGCTAATATATATATATATATATATATATATATATATATATATATATATATATATATATATATATATATATATATATATATATATATGTGTGTGTGTGTGTGTGTGTGTAATTTGAAGCTTAGCCGGTGGTTTGTAAGTGTCTTTAACTGTTGTTTTCCCACTTCATCTTTCCATTGGATGTTGCCTTTACCACACCGCACCTTCTATAGAACCTGGTATTACTCTAATAGAAGTCTTTACTGTGTCAACAGAAATAGTGAGTCTCTAACCCAGCTTCTCACACGGTCGCTCTAACTCTAGTAGAAGTCTTTTACTGTGTCAACAGACATAGTGAGTCTCTAACCCAGCTTCTCACACAGTCGCTCTAACTCTAGTAGAAGTCTTTTACTGTGTCAACAGACATAGTGAGTCTCTAACCCAGCTTCTCACACGGTCGCTCTAACTCTTAGTGGTAACACAATATGGCCGCCCCACTCACACCCCACCCACACCTCACCCCATCGATGTTTACAAACATTGAGTGACGTGCCATCTGACATGTGACGCAACACTTCCGCCGTCCACTTTTCTATCCATGTTGCCCAGACCTGAGCCTGACAACAAGCCCCCCCCCCCCCCCACCCCCCACCACAGCCTGATATCCTCCACTCCAAACGTTAACTGGCCCAAACAACCAATTTAACACTCAGTGTATCCAACTGCGTGATAACATATTGGTGTTTGTTTTAGGGATTGTGGAGAAGTAGAATTAAGCCATAATAATAAAACAGCGAATTGTTCAATTCATGCATAATTCATTCAACTCTTTTGTTAAAGAACATTTTCTGTTTATGTCTGCCTCAGCAAACATTAGCACGAATGCGTCATGTTTTAGTTTTCTTTCTTCAATGTTGGAGTAAGCTTTCATCCATTGGCCTGCTCTTGAGATGGGCTGCCAGACATCGGGTATAGACGTGATGGTGGCCGCACAGACATAAACATGGCACATACAATAGTGTAAACAGATATCAGCGAGGTTTAAGCATGGCACATACAATAGTGTAAACAGATATCAGCGAGGTTTAAGCATGGCACATACAATAGTGTAAACAGATATCAGCGAGGTTTTAACATGGCACATACAATAGTGTAAACAGATATCAGCGAGGTTTGAACATGGCACCTACAATAGTGTAAACAGATATCAGCGAGGTTTGAGCATGGCACATACAATAGTGTAAACAGATATCAGCGAGGTTTTAACATGGCACATACAATAGTGTAAACAGATATCAGCGAGGTTTTAACATGGCACATACAATAGTGTAAACAGATATCAGCGAGGTTTTAACATGGCACATACAATAGTGTAAACAGATATCAGCGAGGTTTTAACATGGCACATACAATAGTGTAAACAGATATCAGCGAGGTTTTAACATGGCACATACAATAGTGTAAACAGATATCAGCGAGGTTTAAGCATGGCACATACAATAGTGTAAACAGATATCAGCGAGGTTTTAACATGGCACATACAATAGTGTAAACAGATATCAGCGAGGTTTTAACATGGCACATACAATAGTGTAAACAGATATCAGCGAGGTTTGAGCATGGCACATACAATAGTGTAAACAGATATCAACGAGGTTTGAACATGGCACATACAATAGTGTAAACAGATATCAACGAGGTTTAAGCATGGCACATACAATAGTGTAAACAGATAGCGAGGTTTGAACATGGCACATACAATAGTGTAAACAGATATCAGCGAGGTTTAAGCATGGCACATACAATAGTGTAAACAGATAGCGAGGTTTGAACATGGCACATACAATAGTGTAAACAGATATCAACGAGGTTTAAGCATGGCACATACAATAGTGTAAACAGATAGCGAGGTTTGAACATGGCACATACAATAGTGTAAACAGATATCAACGAGGTTTTAACATGGCACATACAATAGTGTAAACAGATATCAGCGAGGTTTAAGCATGGCACATACAATAGTGTAAACAGATATCAACGAGGTTTTAACATGGCACATACAATAGTGTAAACAGCGAGGTTTGAACATGGCACATACAATAGTGTAAACAGATATCAACGAGGTTTTAACATGGCACATACAATAGTGTAAACAGCGAGGTTTGAACATGGCACATACAATAGTGTAAACAGATATCAACGAGGTTTTAACATGGCACATACAATAGTGTAAACAGCGAGGTTTGAACATGGCACATACAATAGTGTAAACAGATATCAACGAGGTTTTAACATGGCACATACAATAGTGTAAACAGATATCAGCGAGGTTTGAGCATGGCACATACAATAGTGTAAACAGATATCAACGAGGTTTGAACATGGCACATACAATAGTGTAAACAGATATCAACGAGGTTTAAGCATGGCACATACAATAGTGTAAACAGATAGCGAGGTTTGAACATGGCACATACAATAGTGTAAACAGATATCAACGAGGTTTTAACATGGCACATACAATAGTGTAAACAGATAGCGAGGTTTGAGCATGGCACATACAATAGTGTAAACAGATATCAGCGAGGTTTGAACATGGCACATACAATAGTGTAAACAGATATCAACGAGGTTTGAGCATGGCACATACAATAGTGTAAACAGATATCAGCGAGGTTTGAACATGGCACATACAATAGTGTAAACAGATATCAACGAGGTTTAAGCATGGCACATACAATAGTGTAAACAGATATCAACGAGGTTTTAACATGGCACATACAATAGTGTAAACAGCGAGGTTTGAACATGGCACATACAATAGTGTAAACAGATATCAACGAGGTTTTAACATGGCACATACAATAGTGTAAACAGCGAGGTTTGAACATGGCACATACAATAGTGTAAACAGATATCAACGAGGTTTGAGCATGGCACATACAATAGTGTAAACAGATATCAGCGAGGTTTGAGCATGGCACATACAATAGTGTAAACAGATATCAACGAGGTTTGAGCATGGCACATACAATAGTGTAAACAGATAGCAAGGTTTTA